TATCACATATAAACTAAAACTATATGTATACTTGTTAAAAATATACCCAATTTTTTAAGCAACTTGGTTGAAAAACCCAGTCCAAAATGACCTAACAATTTTTCGGTTGAGAATAGTAATTATATTTTTTATAATCGATAAATTCTGTTAGTAAAATAGTGCATAACTTTATTCTTTAGATTTTGACAAATTCGTGTATAATTTGTAGATTATTATATTTTTTTAATTTTATTACTAACATTTGTCACAAACTTATAATTTTTATTATTGATAGAATTTTTTTGTTAATAAATCTGTAATTAAAAAGACTGTCAAATTGTTTTTATCTAATTTAACAAGATTTATGATGCGTGAAAAGAAGAAGAAGAAGAAAAGAACAAGGAGGAAGAGCAGGTGAGAGTGACATGGAAAAGACATAACAAGAGGCAACGATGATTCAATTATTGTTGGGTTAAATTAGAGTTTGTAGTGATGCAATATAGGTAGGAAAAAGTGTATTATTATTACAAAGCCAAATCGGAAAGCAAAATCTAGTGACAAAATGATGTAATATAATCTTATTTAGTTATTTAATATATAATAAGGTGAGCGCAAAATGGGAATCAAAGAAAAACTTGAAGATACAAGAAAGCACGAAAAAGTCCCCTAAAACTTTTTCTTTTCTTGAAAAGATGGGTCAAACAAAATGTGCCTAGTTTTTTTGTTTATATCATTTCTTTTTCTTTTTTTTTCTTTTTCTTTTCATTTTTGTTAATTTATTACTATTATTATTATTATTTATCTAATTATTTAAAAATAATAATTTTCTAAATTGTTTTAATTTAATTTATAATTTTTTTAAAAAAAATTCAATTCTTCTTTTAAAAATTATTTAAACAGATAGTTTTTAGAATTTTTTTTTCTCTAAAACTAAAATTCATTTACCTAGATGAAATGGGTATTATTAATTGTAACATTCCAAAATACAGTAACACCATATAGTAGAATTAATTACACTAATGATAAACAAATCAGTCTTAAATTAACGAAAGCAAGGGTTTAGGCGAAACGGCCNAGAATTAAATTTAATAAGCTTCCCTTACCTGGATCAGAAGTGAACGTCCTAACTCAAGGTGTTTGGTTCGTCCGCTAACAGTTCCCTACTCTTACAGGATCACTTAATTCTTCCAACCCGATCTAACCATAAAAACCAAGAAATACTAAGAACTTAACCCTTCATGCAACCAGGATCTGGCTTTGCATGAGACAGAAAACGTTCGACGAAGAAGAGAGACTTACCAGTATCAGAACGTTGAGGTGATCGGTTCAAAACGAAGCTCACGACACCAGGAATGGTTATACGGTTTCTGAAACGTGAACGGAGAAGAGAAAGAAGAAGTTTCAGTAGAGAGAAGGTAGAGGTTTTTAGAGAGAAGGTGAAGAATATGAAAAGTTAGAATCTAAGGAAGAAGAAGAGTGCATGCAAAGAGTGATGCAGACTTCAGAAAAAGTCATTTTTGTTTAAAAACCAACGTCCGTTCTCTTGCTGCCACTTGTCTTCCACTACTGATTTAGGAACATTCCATCAAGACACCTGGCAGGAAGGCAGTGAGTTTGGAAGTGCGTTTTTAATGCACGGCAGAAGGGTTTTTAGAGCAATTAATGAGGATGAGACAGGGATTAATGGTGCTCGTTTTTCTAGGGTCTTACATTAATTAAAACTCTACAAATGTATCATTATAATGAAATTGTTTTGTAAAGAAAATCACTAGTTATAATTAATTAAATTTTCATTCTGATATGTTTATTTTTAAAAAATCTTTGTAAGGAGAAATTATTGAGTTTTTTAACACAATCACTGCAATCCAATCGACCATGCAATAGAAATTATTGTTACTGTGAAATTGGTCAATGTTGTGGAACCTAAAGATATATCACTATAAGCAAATTGTTCAATAAAAGAAATCTCAAATTGTAATCAATTAAATTTTTATTTCAATATGTTGAAGTTTAAAAGCTCCTTCCAGATCAAAAATATTAAATATGATAAGAATGAATAACATTATTTAACTCAAAAACATTCGAAAATTTTACTCAACAAATTAAATTAACATTATTTTCAATTAATCGTCACTTTTAACTATTATCATATAACTTTATTCTATACCATATATATATATATATATATATATTTTTAAATTCATCGTAAAAAAGGTTAAATAATTTAATTTATTATAATCACATTTAATAATATGTTTTATATTTATTAGAAAACGTTCTGCCGCAGAGGATCTTTTATTTCTTTTAGTAGCAGTAGTACTACTGACAGTGATATTGGTATGTAAGAAGACTTTTATTTCTTTTGTAGCAGTTAGAATAATAACGAGTCAAGTAGGACACGGATAAAGTGATAATTAAATTCGATCTATATATAAAAATTGTATTCGTTATTTGTTTCGTTATTCATTGGATATCCCCATAAAAAAATTTGCGGATTTTTTACTACTTGCATATATCCATTTTTAATAGTTTGTGTATTATTATCCAAACTAAGGTGTAGGAAGAAAAAAATGAGAAATAATAAAAATATGATTTAATTGTTTGCTTTGTTCTCAGTTTGGCTTCAATGTGTCAAGTTAGTCCATCCTTTAAAAAAATTTTAATTACGTCTAAATTGGATTTAAAAGTGTAAATTTCGTCCAAACGTGATAATATTTATCTCAATCAAGTCCCTTCCGTTAAATAGGCAAAAACGGTGTTAACTTTTTTTTTTATCTCTTCCATTTTTCCGTGTAATGCAGTCTCTTTGTCAGTATTTACAACATAAAATGATTATTTTTCAAATAAAGTAATTGCAGTCACTTTTCACTATATTCCACTCCACTTTTTATTAACATAACTATTACGTTTACATATATACCCTTATTTAAATAAAAAACAATGTTTTAATAATATAAAAGAACAGAATATATATATATATATATATATATATATATATATATTATTGTGTAAATATATCTAACCAAAGTATATGTATTTTGTTTGGTGCCAAGTTTCAAAAGAATATTAAATTAATAAAAATATTATAATAAAGTTAAATACAAATAGAATTTGTAAAATTAAGTAGTATTTAAATAATTTAAATAAATAAAAATAAAACATAGACTAAGAGAAGAAAAACGAAAGCTTATTAAAAAAAAGTTAACTTTTTAATAAATTGTTAATCGGCAGTTTTCATTTTTTTTAATATCTATGGTGAGTTTTTTTTTATTAATATCAACACAAATATTATTATTTATCAATAGTTTGTTTCAATTTTTATAACTGTTGACTGAAAAAAAATTCAATAACATTAATTATGATTTTCTTACATTTAAATAATTGTATATATTAGTAATTGAAATATTTCATTTAAATAATTAAGATTAATTAAGATTCAATTTCATGGTAACTTGTTCATAAGTAATAATGAATAATTTCACTGTAAATTGAGATGAGCAAATTCATTACGAAATATATTTTTTTCAATGTCTAGAAATGGTTAAAATTATAAAATTAGCATGGAGAAATATTCTGCTGTATAAAATACAATAAATTGTTTAGTTCTTTAAAATTATAAATGTAAGATATTATACTCTTTCCTTTTTCACGGAAATAATTCAAAAGCTAATTGAAAGCGTAGAAGACAACTGTAAGTCATTCAAAAAAGATGACGTAAATTAAATCTTTAGATAAATAATGATACAACGACAGTAAACAATAAAATAAAAAATAACGGAATAAAATAAATAGTTGTGTTTTAATGATAAAGAGTTAAAGGGGTAAGATAAAAGAGAATATTCCATATGAAATAACTGATTTTCTTTTCTTTTCCTAGTTAAAAAATTACTAAAAAAAATATGCTTAAATTTAAGCAGGAGAAATAAAAAGGAGGGATTGTTTTATAAATAAACAATAATTGATACTTTTTAAATACTTTGTGTTAGAGCTCAAGGTGAAAATTAAATGTTAAAATATGTTATTTTAAAAGGTGTTTAGAAATCAGAAAAAAGAGAAAGTTGCAAACGTATTTAAATTTTATTAATTTAATATTCTTTTGAACACGAATTTTTTAACAAAAAAAACATATACTTTTGGTTAGATATATTTACACAATAATACACACACGTGTGTGTATATATATATATATAGTTTTTGTCCTTTTATATTATTAAAACATTGTTTTTTATTTAAAGAAGGGTATATATGTAAACATAATAGTTAGGTTGATAAAAAGTGGAGTGTAACATAGTGAAAAGTGGCTGCAAATGGTTTATTTGAAAAGTAATCATTTTATGCTATAAACACTAACAAAGAGGCTGCATTGCACAAAAAAACATAAGAGAGAAAAAAAAAAGTTAACATGTTTCTGCCTATTTAACGGAAGGGACTTGATTGAACTAAATTTTACTATGTTTGGACGAAATTGACACTTTTAAACCAAGTTTGGACGTAATTGAAACTTTTTTAAAAGGGTGGACGAACTTGACACACTGCAGTCAAACTGGGGACAAAGCAAACAATTAAACCTACAAAAAATTGATGAGCTAGCCATTTACTCTCTTTTAGATCAGAAACCACTAGGGTTTCTTCTTCTCAAACAAAGGGAAGCAGCCTAATGGCCACCACCACCTCCTTCGACAACCCCTGCACTCTCTATGACCAACCACCACCACTCGTTTTGTTCGTCACTATCTCATATTTCCCACCACCACCACCACCACCTTCTTCATCCTCTTCGTGCTTTCCGGCCGCATGATCAGTGGCACCACCATGCTTTCCAGCTTCACCGCCGTCGCCACGCCTTCTACCTTGCTCTTCTCCCTGTACAGCGCGTCCAGCTGGTGGAAATAAGGGCACATTTTCGAATCTTCCCGTCTCCGTTCGTTGCTTTCCTCACTTTCTTGAAATACTTGTTGATGTTCTCCCACTTCTCTTTGCACCTTTCGCGTTTCGATTGTACCCGAGCTTCCTCATCGAGGATGAGATCTCCTCTCATAGAGGACCCTTTGGTCTGTTCTCCTGATACTCTGCATCCAGGTTCGTTCAGAGCGGCATAAACTCTAAGAAGTAATCCTTATTCTAATTTGAAAAAAAAAATCCTAAAAGGGATTTGGGCTAGGCCCAATAGATTGAATAGTAAATAAAAAGTTATTAAAGCAAAATTAAAAATAAAATTATAATTTTATTTTTTTAACGGATAGCTAATACTCACAGAAACGGATAATATGATACCCAAACCCAACTCGTTAACAAACGGATATTAAAATACTTGCGTTACCTCTTACAGCGGGGTGTTACTCCCTCCACCACCACATGTTACTTCCTGCACCTCCCAATTTCTCTTTTGTCCTTTAATAATATTTAAATGGATATAAATTAAATGGATATCAACGTCCGTAGACGGACATGGACCTCCGTTAAAGGACAAACAGATGTCAACAGATGTCAATTCAGATGTCAATCTCTGTCCACGGATGTTGACATCCGTCCAACCGTAGTATTGCAATATTTTGTTTGGATGTTGACATCCGTCATCTGTTTATTTGTCATTTCATAAACACACTTTGGATGACTAGGAAATATTTTGTTAGATGCTAGAGATATGGGTTTAAGGAACAGTGCTGGTCCACAAAAGCATCAAGCAGTAATGACAAGTGCTGATCAAGCAGTTTTCTATAGGTGTCGTATTGATGCATATCACGATACTCTCTATGCTTATTCCAACTGTCAATTCTACAGAGAATGTAACATCAATGGCACAGTTGATTTCATCTTTGGCAATTCTACAGTTGTGATCCAAAACTGTAATATTAGGCCAAAGTTACCAATGGCAGCGCGATCTTCCTCAGATGGCAGCGCGGTAGTCGGGGAAACAAATGATGCTCCACTTGAAACTGCAGGTCAGCGTGAAACCAGTCCATCCAAGCAGAACAACTGACATCAAGAGTATCATTCACTCTGCTCTCACACCATGGACCCTTCCGCAACCTACATTTCCTCCTCTGAACTCCGCAAACACAACTTGCGCAACGACGCGTGGATCTCAATCCATGGCAAAATCTACGACGTCTCCTCCTGGCTTCACCGCCATCCCGACGGCGCCCTCCCGCTTCTCACCGTTGCCGGCACAGACGCCACTAACGCCTTCCTCGCCTTTCACCCGCCCTCCGCNGATGTCAACAGATGTCAATTCAGATGTCAATCTCTGTCCACGGATGTTGACATCCGTCCAACCGTAGTATTGCAATATTTTGTTTGGATGTTGACATCCGTCATCTGTTTATTTGTCATTTCATAAACACACTTTGGATGACTAGGAAATATTTTGTTAGATGCTAGAGATATGGGTTTAAGGAACAGTGCTGGTCCACAAAAGCATCAAGCAGTAATGACAAGTGCTGATCAAGCAGTTTTCTATAGGTGTCGTATTGATGCATATCACGATACTCTCTATGCTTATTCCAACTGTCAATTCTACAGAGAATGTAACATCAATGGCACAGTTGATTTCATCTTTGGCAATTCTACAGTTGTGATCCAAAACTGTAATATTAGGCCAAAGTTACCAATGGCAGCGCGATCTTCCTCAGATGGCAGCGCGGTAGTCGGGGAAACAAATGATGCTCCACTTGAAACTGCAGGTCAGCGTGAAACCAGTCCATCCAAGCAGAACAACTGACATCAAGAGTATCATTCACTCTGCTCTCACACCATGGACCCTTCCGCAACCTACATTTCCTCCTCTGAACTCCGCAAACACAACTTGCGCAACGACGCGTGGATCTCAATCCATGGCAAAATCTACGACGTCTCCTCCTGGCTTCACCGCCATCCCGACGGCGCCCTCCCGCTTCTCACCGTTGCCGGCACAGACGCCACTAACGCCTTCCTCGCCTTTCACCCGCCCTCCGCCGCTGTCGCCCTCCTCCCCACATTCTCCACTAGCCTCCTCCTCTCTGACTACACCGTCTCTGTCGCCTCCTCTGACTCCGGAAGCTCTACTCCAAGCTCTCCGAACTCAACCTCTTCGAACGCAAGGGCCACACCACCCTCATCTTGCTCTCCCTAATCCTCACCATCCTCCCTCTCTGCGTCTACGGCGTCGTCTTCTCCGTCATTCACTGCCATTTGACCCCATCCACAATCCTCCTAAATCGCAATTTGGTGGCAAAGATCATGGGCTTTGGACTCCATGATTGTCGTGACGAACAATGTAACAATTGCTTATTGCTTATTGCGATTGCGATTAAGCTTGATAAGGAAATCTTGGTGGAGGCAAAACAACAATGGACACAGTGGGGAGGCCTAGAGTGTTTTTGAAATAAAAAAAAATAGTAGAAAGGTGGAGGGTATTTTTGAAATAAAACAAACAATGGAGAGGTGAGGAAGCACATGGGGTGGTGGAGGGTATTTTTGAAATAAAACAAACAATGGAGAGGTGAGGAAGCACATGGGGGTGGTGGAGGTGGAGGAAGCAACACCCCTTACAGCGACCCGTATCTCGGTACTAAATACACGTAAGCTGCGATACAGATAGTGATGTGCGGTGCCTGTACGAAGACTTTTGTTTCCTTTCCAGGAATAAATATAGGAATAATGGCAGCACAGCTACAACAACTCTCTATTCTCTACATTCCTCGTTACACATGGCCGGTGGTTATAATGGACGACGGAGGCATGTTTCCGGCCACGAGACGAAGAATAATGAGGTGGGTTCTAACGTTTAACTATTTCTAATACTCTCATGTATACCTATGCTTTCCAAGATCACTTTGTGACTATTGTAGTGATGAGTTGTTTTTGCAATGAAGATAGGGAAAAGTGGAAAGCAGAAGAAATGGGTGGTGAAGAAGATGCTTGCGTGGTTATGGAGGACGATAACTTTGAACAACACCAAGAAGCAAGCACCTGCTCCTCCTACTAATTAACTCAAGGTTCAATATCTCGTTTCTCTCGTAATTCATTTGTTCCCCCTTTTGAATATGGATTGCTATGTACACCTTGTGTGTCTATTATTTATATAAAATCTCATTGTTTGGATTATCAAATCCAAATCTAGAATATTCAGACCTAAAACAGCTATTTAAATTGCCTTGCACAACACATATGTTAGAAAAAAAAATTACATTTAAATTATAATAGACAAAAATAAATATTTGAATTTTGTTTACGATGAAATAAATTATTCAACAATCTTATTATAGAGATTAATATTTAAATTAATTGGATTTTTTTATTTGAGATTAATTTTAATCAGGTTGAAATAAAGAAAAAAAAATCAATATGAATAAATTATAAGAAACAGTGAGTATAATATAATAGGAGATGAATAAAAAGAAGAACAATGATACGTTTGACACAAAATTTTTCTTTTGACCATTTTCTTAGGACAATTATTTTTGTAGGAGAATTTTGCTTTTGACCATTATCATCGTCTTAAACGGCCCCGTTTGTATTGTTGTGCAATACAGGCTATTTTATCTATCTTGATAACGGACGACGGAAACCTATGTTTTCGAATATCATGTTGTTGTGTTCAAAGTAAAGGCTTAATTTATAGAGTTAAAACTGGTGAGTTGTTTTTGGAATGAAGGTGGTGAAGAAGATGAAGATGCTTGTTTGGGTGTGAAAGACGACTAACTTTGCTCCTGCTACTAAGCAACTCAAGGGTCGAACATCACATGTTATTAGTAGTTAAATAATAAGTCATGATGTGTGTTTTAATTTTCTTCTGCAGTGAATTTTTATTGCCATGGCCATAATTTCCAAAATATAATTATATTTAGGGACGTGATTTTTTTTAAACCTTAAACGACTGATGACAATACCTTCCACTGTGCAGGTCTCATATGCCTACCAAGTCAACTTTATTATAGTGAACATTATTGGTCCTTTGATGTGATTCTTTTTATTTCGGTAAAATATATTAATTAAAGTCCATGTAAAACTTTTAAAATATTAAATATGAATTTATTTTCCAAATTATTATTTTTATTTCATAATATATATATATATATATATATATATATATATATATATATATATATATATATCTTTTAATTCTTTCTTAATATAAGCAAAAGGTTTACTTAGATTACCGTCTTAATACAGTTCAACGAAATCAAAAGAAATTTTATTAACAAAATCAACGTTAACGTGTTATGATTCATATACTGTAAATAAAATATTCATATTAACTTTGTTCCATTGGTATTATTACTAAGAACTAAAAGATATATTAAAAATTAAGAGAAATAAAAATAATAATATTTTTTTTTCTAGATACATATTTAGTAAAAGTTTAAATATATTAACCCTCCTTATTTTGTTTAGGAACTTCTTAAAAATCAACTTGAAGAGGGCGTTCCCAATTCTTAATCATGATTCATCAATTAATAAAATAAAATATTTTTTAAAAAATGGCAAAGAAAGTTCTTTTTCCATACCAATTGTGTAATAAGTACAAAAAAGTCCACTTGAAAAAATACAATTCCATATATAAAAGTTACTTTTTATACTTTTCATCACACCAATGGTATAGAAAGTATTGTTTATTAAAAAAATTACTTTTCATAGTAGTTAAGATCTCGATTGTTATAAAATTTTGGAAAAGTAGACAGACAACATTTTACACAAATCACAGCATTCAGATATCTTGGAGGATGTATCAGCATATCAACTGTTGACATGTCAACGTAACCTTTTCCATCAATATGATCAAGAACACCATCTTTATCAAACACAATTAACCTAGAAAGTCACCACAAATAGAATTCAAATAAGAGCTAAAAAAGAAGTTACTAGTCAAAATAATATTCACAACAACTGACCATTATCCCCAAACCTAAGAATCTAACCTCTATCTCTTTCTCTCTCTTCTGATTTCTCTCTCTCGCTCACCACTCTCTTCTTCCCAACTTCTCAGGAAAGCCGTCCTTTACCATAAAAATTATCACTATCCTTTATAAACAACACGTTTTTGTATGGAATGAGGGGTTCCACGACACTTCCATCATTTGCATCTATTCAACCTCTTTATTACTAAATAAGAATATTTAATATTCACCCAAAACTATAACTGTTTATTTTTAGAAAAATATAATAGTTCGCGACATTTTTTATTGGTCTTTTCGACCTAACTATTTTAAACTTGTGTTCTTTCTTTTTCGTCATCTTCTCCTTTTCTTTTTTTTTTTCTTCACTCGCGTGCTCTACTATTATCAATGTGTATGTTGTTATCTTTTCTTTTCTTTTTTTTTTTCCTTTTCCTCTTCTCCACCGCCTATCGTCATTATTGTCGTTGTCTATGTCATTACATCATCATCACGCTGTCATCACGTATTTTCTATGCCAGTCACCTGCTTTTCTTTCACATTCTTTTCTTCTTTTTCTTAGCCATCTTCAAATCTCATCAAATTAGACAAAAAGTTTGGTATTCTTTTTATTTACAGATTTGATGACAAAAAAATCCACCAATAATAAAAATTAAAATTATTGATAAATTTTAACACATATAATTATACACAAATTTGTCAAAACCCAAAATGAGAAGTTATACACTATTTTTTTTGTCTTTTTTACGCATCCTTAAATCTTGTTAAATTAGATAAAAACAATTTGACAGTCTTTTTATTTACAGATTTATTAACAAAAAAATTTATCAATAATAAAAATTATAAGTTTGTGACAAATTTTAGAAATAAAATTTTAAAAATATGATAATCTACAACTTACACGAATTTGTCAAAATCTAAAGAATAAAGTTATGCACTATTTTACTAACAGAATTTATCGATTATAAAAAATATTATTACTATTCTAAAAAGAAAAATAGTTAGGTCATTTTGGACTGGTTTTTCAACCAAATTGCTTAAAAAATTGGGTATATTTTTAACAAGTATAAATATAGTTTTAGTTTATATGTGATAGAATTATATA